TCTCGGTGGAATATTCTAGATTTTTTTAAGAAACTGGGTGAATAGGTAATAGAACACTGTAGGAGGCAATATACTAGTAAGGTAATGGAACATTCTAGAAATTTGTAGTAAGTTCCAGACTCATTATGTATGCTGATGTAATGGTCTATTTATAGACAGTGGGGGTATATATAGGGGAGTTGTTCAGCACTGAGTTCAGATCGGAGATCTCGTTGAATTGTATTGGAGTTTAAGTATCTAGTCATTGGAGTAGTGGAGTTTTACCGCGTTATTGTACTTGATGTTTGCGAAGTATAATAATACCAGTACCAGTTGAAACCTCATCTGTTGGCTCCGTGTACTATACCAATTACGGTAATATTACGTTGCGTGTGACACCATACATGTATCAAATTTAACACTGAAGATTCCCACAGAGGTGGTTCTCCACATACATATGTACTGTAAAATAGAGTTCCTAAACTTAGCTTCACACTGTAACCATACATGTACAACCTGGTATGCTGATTGACGACACGCACCTGATTGTTGGCTATTATAATGTAACCCAAATGATAATGTTGGATTCCAGATACTGTGTAATGGCCCTGGAACATGTATACCCTTATGTGCTGCAGGTTTAACAATGACAGTAAGTGATAATATACATCTTGTATGGCCCATTTCATTAAGGGCATCTCCAATTAAAGCACATATAATTAATATTTATTGCATGCTTGATCATTAAAATGTCATTTATGTAAGTGGTATGCACATACCATATATACAATATATCATGTCCCATAATAAAAACCTGGGTTTATTTTTAAATTTAATGTTGCAGCAATATTCACTGGGTTTGTGAAGTACACAATACATTCTATGGTTAATTTTAATTAGGGCAATTATCGTTCAGTAGAATGATTGGAGATAAATCCCAGTTGATAATTAAGCCGTTATATAGTAAACCCCCATATTATCTACGTTTTCCCTGTTTGTTTTTTTTTTTTTTTGCAGCAGCACTGATTTTAAAAAGAATAATTCTCAGTATGTTTTTTATATTTCAGTTCCTTGGTCTTAAGAGAGTTTATCTAATCTACGTTGAAAGCATCTGCAGAGTTCTAAGTTTATCACTGTCAGGAAAGATTTTATACCATCTTGCAGATAAAATGTTTGTCCAGTGGCCAGAGCTCCAGAAAATGTATCCCAAAACATTGTACATTGATAGAATAGTATGAGCAAATGATGCTAGTTTATAGGCATATACTCTTAAAATAATAATGGAAAATAATACAGGAGGTTCTGTATTGCTGTCTACTTTGGCAGCACTTGGCTCCATGACATAATTTATTGATCATCACTGTCATCAGAACTGCACTCTTACACTTAATCCCTGTCAAATGAATTAACAGAAGAGCCATATTTAGCTGACGTATGTGTTGGTATTAAAGGCACTCTCAAATATGCTTATTTCTTAGCAGCAAAGTTACCTGAAAAGAGAATTGCAAAAAAAGCTAATTTACTCTAAAATAAAACATAATAAAAATAAAAAGTCATATGTATATTATGATAGTCAAGTCAAAACTGAAGATGATAATTTTTCTATAAAGTGCAAATATTTGGGTGTGTCAAAAACCCTTGAAACATTGAATGAACTGAGAAATATGAATAAATTTATATCATTTATATTAAATTCAAAGGAAGTCTTTATAGTTGTATGTATTTGTGTTTTCATTCCACTGATATCTCAAGAACCACTCATTGCATTAATTTCATGCAGACCTGACACCGTGTCCCAAACGTTTGTTTACCTTTTTGTTCAGGCTCTAAGAGCATTATTCATCGATATTTGACCCAGAAAATTGGTTTGAGGGCATACAAGAGGCCCAAAATACCATGACTGATCTAGAAAGAGAAGAGGCTGTCTTTCGTCAGGAAGTATGCCAGCTTGACTCCAGATGCCAGTCAAAATGACTGGGTCTATACTGATAGTCCTGAGAAAGGGCCTCCTGAGCAGGTGAAGTTGAGTGCCCATACCATGGTGTGGGGTGCCATGTCAGCATCTGTGCAGTATGAGCTTCACATAGTGCCACAGTAAACGTTCAATGCTATCTGCAGGAAAACATTGCGCCCATCATCTGGCCATGTGAGCCAGGAGTGGGGAAGACTGACATTGTGTGGCTGATGAGGGCCAACTGATACTGTGTGGCTGCTGAGGGCGCACTGATACTGTGTGGCTGATGAGGGCGAACTGATACTGTGTGGCTGATGAGGGCCCACTGATACTGTGTGGCTGATGAGGGCCCACTGATACTGTGTGGCTGATGAGGGCGCACACTGATACTGTGTGGTTGATGAGGGTGCACACTGATACTGTGTGGCTGATGAGGGTGCACACTGATACTGTGTGTGGCTGATGAGGGC